ATATGTATATATATATATATATATATATATATATATATATATATATATATATATATATATATATATATATATATATATATATATATATTTATATATATATATATATATATATATATATATAAATATATATTTATTTATTTATGTATATATGAAGTATGGGATGCATATATAAGGACCAATCCACATCCCCCATACTGCAGTACATCACCACAAAGTGACCAATGTCTTGGATTATCAACCATTCGAACCGTTCCAAGCTTTTGCATACTGTATCAGCGTGCAGATGTTTGCATGCAGAATGAACAGGTGATCACACACACAACACACACATTCAGCAGAATAACAGCACAGATGTGAAGGCAGCAGCAGCTCATGTGGTGTTTGCGGGGACGGTGTCGAGGGCTTACTTTCCGGCGGGACTCTATCTTTATGAGGACATCCAGACAGGCTGCGGTGGTGCGGGTACAGACCAGTAACATGACCTGTGCCGTCACAACCTGGCGTCGGACACCGGCTCTCCTTCTTCCCCGACCGCGACGAATCTAAACGCATATAAAAACACACACAGGATTATCACTAGTCCATTTGTTTAGAAACGGTCCTCAGTCTGAGCACACACACTGGATTATCACTGATTCAGTTGTTCAGGAATGAGTTATTCAGAGTCTTTCAGACTATTGGCGCATTCTAAACTGGATTTATCACCCTCTGTAGGGCACTTTGGATTGGAAACAAACATGACCGCCATATTGAAGTGTTGTTCCAAACTGAAGTGCTCAGAACTGGCCACTTCAAAGTGCTCTTCGGAATGACTGACTTTGAAGGTACAACTGATGGACACTTCGGACGCCCATGATCCTTTGCACAGGGAATTTGTTTGGGGACACAAAATGACAACTGGAGGCTCTGAGTTTGACTTTACCTATAATTGCCCTGCGGAAAAATCCAGCTCAAACCAGCCTAGACTGGTTTAAGCTGGATTTTTCAGCAGGGTTTTTAAGGGCGGCACAGTGGTTACCACTGTTGCCTCACAGCAAGAAGGTTACTGGTTCGAGTCCTGGCTGGGCCAGCTGGCATACCTGTGTGGAGTTCTCCCCTTGTTCGCCTGGGTTTTAAACAAGTAAATGCTGACATAGTTTTTAGTTTTGGGTGAACTATCCCTTTAAATCCTTAATTTGACCTGTATTATGATTGACAGGATGCCTCTGTTAGTGTATCTGCATTTGTCAGTGAGTGTGCAGATCTGAATATCCACTGAAGAGAGAGAGAGAGAGAGAGAGCACAGCGGAGTCAGCGAGTGAATATGCTACAGTTACCTCTGATTAAAATTTTAAGGATGGAGTAACCTAGTAGCAGGCATCACATTGCCTCTGCCGTATCAAAGTAAAGGCCGAAACAGACAGGAATAGCATGAGAAAGTGAAAGACTGTGGGCTCAGTGTTTGGTGGGACTGAAAATAGATACTCCGATTTACAGAGCGTGTGCTTGCAAAAACAACAACTAAAGCTGTGCAGTAACAGCTCACAAACACACATGAATCACGACATATTTCAGCTCAAAATCAAAACTAATTTTAGTTTTTTTTATTAAGGAATATTTGTAAATTTAGATTTGATTCGTAAATTTAGATACGACGACATAAATGCTGATTTAGCGACACTGCTCGTATTTACAACCCAGACTCATTTTGATTACATACCATTTCTGGAGAGCACCAGATACGTCCCAGGAGCTACGTTTTTTTTTTTTTTTGCAGTTTTTGTTTTCACGAATCCACTGTGTTCACTTTTTCAGCTCTCAAATTTCTCTCGCGAGTGCCATTCTTGCCTGCTGTTCTCACGTAAATCCACCAGAGGCCGCTTTCAACTTTCTGACTGACCTCCATGTCCCACCCACTTTCCTAAACCCAACCATTAGTGTTTTCATAAGCAATCCAGAAAAAGAAAAGCCCTCGCCTGATTTTTAGTACGTTTTCAGATTTTACCAAAATGTATGTGGACAAACTAGTGACTGGCAAAGTTTATTTTTATTTTATTTTTTTATCTAAGCATCTGGTGGTGATTAAAATATAATGCTCAAACATAAATATAAATTGATTTTTGATTTACGTTTTTCTGCACATCGATGTTGTGCTCAAAACTGGATTATTTAATAATTCATTTAAGAAGATTCAGAGCTTTTTATTCGATTCACAAATTTTGATATGACTATTTAAATCCAGACTCAGAGACATCCCTAGTATTTACTATTCAAATATAATCCTTCCAATTGATTTTTGATTTAGGTTTTTCTGTGCATCTATGTTGAGCTCAAAGCATGATTATTTATTTAATAAGATTTGTACAAATAGATTTGATTTGTAAATTTAGGTTTAAGTACATACTGTAAATTCCGATTCAAGGACACCCCTAGAATTTACAATAATTACTATAATATTTTTCATAAGGGTTCTAATTCATAAAGACCTGTAGATGACTCAAATATAATCCTTTACTTTGGTCTTTGTTTTTCTGCGTATCAATGTGCTCAAAGCGTGATTATTTATTTACTTAAGAAGATTCCTAAAATTCGTTAATTTAGATTTGATTCGGAAATTTATATTTGAATAAATCCCGATTCAGGGAGGAACCCTAGTATTTACTATAGTATTTTTCATCTGGGTTCTAATTTGTAAACATCTTGAAATGATTAAAATATTCACCTTTACATTGATTTTTGATTTAGGTTTTTCTGCGTATCGATGCTGCGCTCAAAGCTTGATTTTTTTATTATTTAGGAAGATTTGTAAAAATAGATTTGATTCGTAAATTTAGATTCAAGTACATACTGTAAATTCCGATTCAAGGACACCCCTTGTATTTACAATAATTACTATAGTATTTTTCATCTGGGTTCTAATTCATAAAGACCTGTAGATCAGTGGTTCTCAAACTGTGGTACGTGTACCACTAGTGGTACGCAGGCTTCCTTCTAGTGGTACGCGGAGGAATGAAATATGTCATGTACATGCTACACACATTTAAACATTTCTTAAAAATTATGCATATAATATGCCATTTATGAATATAGCCTATATTTCTATGGTAATCTGCCACGTTGTTTTAACTGTGCAGAGTTGTAGCTTCTTTACTGGGCCTACTACGCTTCTGTATTTCAGTACTGCTCATTTTTGGTGGTACTTGGACAGACAATTTTTTTTCTGAGGTAGTACTTGATGAAAAAAGTTTGAGAACCACTGCTGTAGATGATTCAAATATATCCTTTACTTTTGTTGATGTTGCACTCAAAACAAAATCATTTATTTATTTAAGAAGATTCGTAAAATTTTTTATTCTATTCGTAAATTTAGATTCGATTCCTAAACTAGATTTGATTTGTAAATTTAGATACGACAATCTAAATGCTGATTCAGTGACACCCCCAGTATGTACTATAATTACTGTAGTATTTTTCATCTTTGTTCTAATTCATCTGGAGATTATTAAAATATTATCCTTTAAACTGATTTTCCATTTACATTTTTCTGCACGTCGATGTTGCGCTAAAAACTTGATTCGCAAAAAAGATTTGTAAAAACTTTTTTTCCACTCGTGAATTTACATTTGATTCGTGAATTTAGATTTAAGTAGATAAATCATGATTCAGGGACACCCCTAGAGTTTATAGTACTATAATTACAATTGTATTTTTCATCTTAGTTCTAATTCATAAATTTGATTTGTAAATTTAAGATTCAACTACGCAAATTCTGATTCAAAGACACAACTAGTATTTAATATTAATTACTATAGTATTTTGTTCTAATTCATAAACATCTGGAGATATTCAAATATAATCCTTTAAATAGATTTTTGATTTATATTTAGATTCATAAATGTAGATTTGATTCGTAAATTTAGATTTGACTACTTAAAACCCGATTAAGGAACACACCAAGTACTTACTATAGTATTTTAACAAGGTTCTAATTCGTAAAGAACCCAGCAAAAATATTTGCAAAAGCACATTTGATACATGTATTAGTAAATGATTTACAGTAACACCCCATTGACACGGGGCTTCAGTGTCAACGCTTGACTGAAGGCGTGTTTGAAGTTGGGGCTGAAGCGATCGTCATAGCAGCGTCAGCCAATAAAATTCAGTTAGCAATAGGCCACTGTCTAGCTGGTGTATTTGCATACAGCGTTCTGATTGGCTGACGTTTCCATCAGCACTTAAAAAGTTGAGCTAGCCCAACTTCTGCAGCGAGCAACGCCTCTGAAGCGGCGCCGATGGATCCATAACGCAGTTCGGCAACGCCTGACATCACCCATTCAAAGTGAATGGGAAGCATTGACGCTGACACCCCATTTGAATGGGGCGTTAGTATCCACTTTGAGTGCACTTCACAAAGATAATATTTTGATAATGCTGACTTTAAGGTGAACTCTGACAGAGATATGTTGTTGACAGATGTGAGATTCAGCTTTGTGTGTGATTTTTCTAGATTCTAGAACGTCCAGTGATTTCCAAACAGACTAATAAACCCTGAATCCTCGGACTACTTCTTGGCCATTTCAGAGAGAGTGAAAACAAACGAGAGAAAAAGGAGAGAAGAGCACACAGGCGAGCTGAGAGGAATACATATTAGAAAGTGCTGGATATTGATTGTGGCTCCGGACAAGCCACGCTTTGCATAGCAAATGGCCCCCATTACCATAGTGTCTGTGGATAATTAATGTGCAGTCAGTGGTGCTGTCGTTTGTTATCGCTCATACTGATGCTGCTCAATTTCCATCTCCGCCTCGTGCCTTCTTTAAGGAAGAGCTCCTTCCATAACTGTCAGGCCTCCGCACTTTTATAAATCATAAAGCCCCCCGGTTAGGTAGCGTCTGCCGTGGCGAGATGTTATCGCGGCGTAATGGCCGAGCGTCGCTCATTATTCGGCCATTAGAAAGACGGCGAGTGCTGCGCATGCTTGACACACGGCCTTTCATGAGCGCCGTCAGCCTTCTTCATCTGGAGAACAGCCCATCAAAGCATGCCACAGTGTGTTCACATGAAAAGCATCATTTATCATGTCATTTTCATCTGCATGACTCTTTCTGTAATAGAAGACTGGCTTCGAAAATATAAGCACAGTAGTGCAAAAAGTGTCCAGAGTGGTAGATTCCAATTATTTTCTTTCATATTTGGTTTGGAATTTTGTTGGATCTCGACATAATGTCTAGCTTTTGAGGATCTTTTGGTCTACTTTGTCCTATTTAAGTGATTTCTTGATCGTGAACAGGTATAGCAGAGGGTTGAGTGGGGGGTGGAGGGGGTTGTGTTACCATAGCTACTATAGAGTTAACACAAAAGATTAAGGGCCCTATCATACACTCGGCGCAGTGTGGCGCAAGACGCGGCGCAATACTTGTTTGGTAGTTTCAGCTTGGCGCAAGAGTCGTTTTAAGGCGTTGCGCTACGCTGTTTAAATAGCAAATGCATTAGCGCTCATTTGTGTGGCCATAGGCGTTCTGGTCTAAAAAGGAAGGCGTTCTGAGGCGGACCGCTGGCGCGT